GCTGCGGCTCGGCTCCTTCGTGTGCCGGAGCACCCACCGGAGAATTCTGAGCCCCCCAGCGCTGTGGGCGGTGTGTGAATTTGGCTTTCTGCTCAGCAGTGGGTGTGAAGAGACTGTGAATTCTCATCCGCACTTTCATTACCTTAACAAAGTCACTTCAGGTCTGTGAAGTTCTTCTGCAGAAAAATAAGACGTAATTGCACGTGTCGTTAGCTTCTCCTTCCCCTGAGCCCCAAAAGAGCTCAGCCCGCGGGTCTCGCTTCCACGGCCGTTCGTGAAATCCACGTCGAGGGGCTACGGGATCTTCTCCAAGAGCCTGGACCAGGTGAGGAGCTGGTAAACTCCGCTGGGTGCGGAGCTTCTATCAGGACGGCCCCTCTCCCTCTTTCATCCTCCTCGCTTTGACAGATACTAAGAAGTTATTCAGAGCTATGGCCTTTTTGAACATTACACTGTCAAAGCTTTTCTTCTGTAAGAGACAAGTTCTTACCTAAACTCACCTGCTCAACAGAAATAGCAGTGACAATAAGCCCAAAATGAGGAGATTAAGAACTGGCATTCGTTTTACCCCATGGCTGCCGTTCACCAAGGTCTTCCAGCGTTATCCGCTGCGCCTTACGCTCTCCCTTACCCTCGCTCTTACATCGGAGACTGTTCAAGTACTTTTAGCCTCGCACGCACTTGGGAGTTGTCCCGCTCAGGCCTGGATGGTCGCCATTTGGAGTAAGCGGCAGCGTGTAGACCAGCACGATCCGGATTTAGCACCGTCTGGGCTAATCAGAGTTTGTTTCAGTGCGTGCTTTGCTTTAAAACTTGTATTTTTCTACATAGCATCTCTGATGCGCGGTGATAAGTTGGGGAAGGTCTTTCCTGTCGCCAGCTGTAGCTTGGTCAGAGCTCAAAGGCCCTGGTACCCTTTGGATGGCTCATTGACACAGGAGACACAAGGACTGTAGAGAGCAAGAGAAAATTGCCTGGAAGTAAGTTGACGTTAAATGCTACCAACTGGTCTTGGAGCAGATGGTTGGATTAATGGATTAATTAATGGGTTAATCAGGTCTTAAATTCTCTAAATATCCCTGCAATAGAGATAGCAGCCGTCCCTACAGCCGGGTTTTGGGAACGATCCGTAATATGAATGGAGTGGTACCTCCTAGCTGGCAATGTTGCTTCACTGGGGGTGTCTGCTGCGCTGCTTGTTTCAGTGTCTGCTGTGCGCTGTCTTAGGAATACGGAAACTTCCTGAGACGTGTCATTTCTTTTCCTGGGGTGGCTGTAATCATTTGCTCCACCCTAAGGTGGATCCAGGTGGATGCCGCACCCGCTAGTAACCAAAGTTGTTAGCAACATTGCTCGTGCCCTACCTCGAGGGAAAAGTTGCTGCCACAGAGATCCTTCGATCCTTCCTTTGCTCTTCAGCCACTGCCTGCCTGATATTGTGCAAAGATCCTGGACTCCGGACACATGGATTTTGCAGAGAAAGAGAACGTAAGTACTCTGACAGAGCACGTGCAGCATCTTGCTAACGAATATAGAAGTATGAAGGTCTGCAGCCCCTTCCCGAGTCGTGGAACCCACGCTCTGCAAACGAAATCCTAATCGCAGGAGGGAAACGGCAGCTGAAAATCCCGTCTACAACCTGTTCAAGCTCTGAAAAACGGGATACGCTATGCTCTTCCACCAGCACTGCGGTGGGAGCGTAGCATGGAGGAGAGGAGGGCTCTGCTGGCTGGCACCAGCTGTCAGAGCTGTTGTGTGTCTCTAGGTGCAGCTGCAGGATAGGAATGAGAGGCTGTACGGGCTCAGAGACCTGCAGGAGAGGATGGAGAAGCTGGCTGGCTCCAAAACAGATTTGTCAGCCAGAGTGGTCTTCAGTGAAGAGGAAAAACTGAAGGTAAAACAAATACTTCAGGAGTTGGAGAGAACTGAGCCGTGAAGCTGTGTGAGGCCAATAGATCTGCAGTGGAAAATCTGGTGGGAAATGTTGGGGCATCTTTCTAGGGGTGTGTGTGTTGTGCTCGAATTCCCTGGTGCGACCTGTTGAAACGGTATGTTGGCCTCAGAATCAGTCTATGGCCTTTATAATGTTCTTTCTCTCGCCTAGATTTCCAAAGACCTCGTTGATCTGCAGATCGAGACAAACAAAATGAAGGAGCAGTATGAGACGGAGAACTTTGAACTGAAAAATATGGTATCCAAAAGTTTGAAGTAGAGTTGATTCAGCTCCGCCAATACCTTTACCCAGAACCGCAGTTCGTTATGTATCCATCTTTGCTTTGCTTAGTGTATTCTGGCTTTAGCTAGAGCAAAGAATCCCCCCCGATGCCCCAGATACCATGATACTCGTGTGAAACTCCTCTCTCTCCAAGTCATAGCGTGCCAGAACCTGTTTGGCCAAATAAATGCCCTGTGATTGCTGCTGGTCTCTGTCACAGCCTAATTCCGCTGCCTCCCCTCTGCAGGTCCTGGCCCTGGAGAACCGTGTGCTGGAGCTGGAGCTCTGCAGTGAGAAAGTCACTGGGGAGCGGGATGCCTTACGGGAACGCCTGCATGCTCTGGAGACCAATCGGAAGGAGCTGGCGGATGAGTACATCATTTTGAAAAGCAATTACTTGGCCCGAGGCAAAGAACTGGAGCAGGAGGTGAGACAGGCTGCAGTGTTCGCTCTGGTGTCCTCGACTCCGTCTCACCATCGCCTGGTCTACAGGCAGCTTGGCTGGCTTTGGGTCGCGCACCCACGTCCGCAGCTCAGGTCCAGTAAGGTTTGCCAGCTGTGAGGCAGCGTCGCTTGGGCATGGTTATTTTGCTTTCGGGGCCCAGGGATTTCATGAAGCATGGTCACCTTCTAGCAGGGCTTGCAGAACCTGCTCTGCTCAGCAGGGACAGCGCTGAGCCCACGCTGACCCATGTGCCGTGCTCTTCTGGGCACCCCGCTGTCAGAGCCTTTCTCTTTTCACGCCACCCCAGATCCCCGTCACTAGCAGTAACGAGGAGGTCACTGCGGGGCTGGTCCGAGTGCACGTTGCAGGTCCCTCTTGACTGCCAGCACGCTTTGTTTCCCTTTTTTCTGCATGGCTTGCGCAGGCTGCACGTGAACTGATTGTAGTCGCTCTCATTTCGTACAGCGGCGGGAAGGGGCCTGGAAGGTTTTGGGTTTATAAAAACACTGAATGTAAGCAAGTTTCTGATTGTTCCTTAAAATCTAGCGAATTTCCCGGTGACCGTTAGCTTAGCGATTATTAACTAAAGTCTTTTGGACCCAGATTTGTGTATTTCTTTGGCAAGAAGAGCTACTTCAATAGACCTCCCTCTCCCCCCTCCCGCTTCTCCTTCTTTTTGCATTGGATCGGATGACTGACACCCTCCTGCCTCCCTCCCCTGGCAGATAGTTTAGCTGGTTCAGCCAAATGACCTGGTTTACCACGCTGGCCCTATGCAGAGCTGTGATGGGAAGATGTGGGGCAGGGACCAGGCATGCTGGTTTAGGCAGTGTCCAGTCTCTCTTTACGGTCTGCAGAGCTCCGCTAGAGGAGGATACGAGGTCGTGATCATCCTGTTGCGAATAAGTGAGTTAGTGACTCTTGCGAAGCTATCATTTCTCTCCCGTAAGCTGAAAAATGGGAATTTCTTAAGAGGAGGCAAGCTGAGCTGCTTGCAGGGGTGTGAACCCACCCCGTCGTCCTGCCGGAGCACGAGGCAGAGCGCGTGCAGCTGACTGTCAGCAAGGCAGCACGCTGCTGAGACGCAGTACCACCAGGCTGCGGAGGAATAGCTCGGCGTTCAGCAATCTTGGTTGCTTCTTATCCCCAAGGGGGTGCAATATGTTTGTCAAAAATTGGATTTTCAGGTGGCTGACGTCTCTAAATGATGGGTTTAACAGGTTGGTGGTAATAACGTGCTGTTTTCACTTGGATCCTGGAATGTTTCAGAGAGTGAAAGCACATGGGTTCAGTTATGTGCCCGGAGAGCATCCTGAAGAATTGGTGGAGCAGGGTCCAGAAGCCAAAGGTGAACTCCTTGGTTGTAATTCATAGGCTGAGGGTTTTACCCCCGTTGCTTGGCTCCGACTACCAAATATCCCTGCCCGAAGCAAAAGAGGCTCCAACTTGGCAGGCTGGGACTTGTCACGGCATGGGCCTCTTGCTCATTATTTTCCCAGTGTGGACTTTCCCAAAGGAAATGGGAAAAGCAGCCTGCGGTTCTGCCCCCTCCCCTTCCCCGGCGCTCTTCTGGGGAGACAATGAACCTTTTACACATTCCCAATTACAAGTGCTACTTGTGACCTTGCCAATATGTTGTCATGGCTGCTTGGCGCAGAAGCAGCTCGGCGAGCTCATTCACGGTCCCTTGTACGGGAACAGTTAGAGCCTCTGAATTGTCGCGGCCCCCATTGTACGCCTCGATTCACACATCGCCCTGTGTCTGCCCAGGCGAAGGAGCTGGCCTTGCCTGTCCCTGGGGAAGTGCCTTCCAGAAGATGCCAGCCAGTCACTTTGTGCCTGTTTTCTAACTCGCTGTAAATTCTTCCTTTTCAAGACTCTGACCTTTTCTCGACTCCCCGTTTCCTCCTCCTCTTTTGTTCAGCGGGCTTACGCCGTCTGCATCGGCGGTACAAAGCGAGGCCGTTGGAGGGAACCCAAATGGCTGCGAACCGGTTCCACACCGGGGTTTTCCCTGGAGCCGGGCCAGGGGAGGCAGCGAAGCCTATTGCAAACCTGGGACTGCCTCTTTCTTTCGCCAAGCTGGTACTTCTGCGCTTGTGTGACCCCCTCTGATCAAATTGTCAGGGCTGACAGCTGCAGATGGATCGTTTTCGGTTGAAGAACAAGCAGCCTGTCTCTGCGTAGCTGTCAGTTTTCACAGCTGTATATCTCACCTCTTTGTCAGCCTCTTTTCTCCTCTCCTCTCTCCCTCAGCCCACCCTGTGCTATCTTTTGATAAGCTATTCTCTCCACGGATGACTCAGATGACCTCTGCCTCCCATCCTCCCGATTCACTGCCATGGTAACAATTACTCAAGCTTGTCCCCAGTCATAAACCCCATCAAAGCTTTGTTATCTACATAGAAACCCTCCCGTGAGACATGAATTCCCCCAGTGTTCCTTCCAGATCACCTGTAACAGAGCCTTTCTCATTCAGATCCTCTTTATCTTTTGGAAATGTGTCACTTCACACCAGCACCGCTTTGAATCTCGCTGCCTACACGGTGCTGTGGGCTGGCTGCTGCTGGAGGGATGCATTCAAGCAAAACTGGAATTAGCTGGGTGGCGTCAGCCTAGATGGATGGAGATTTGCCCCTTCTCTTACATTATGGAGTCCGGCACTGTTCAAAGCCATTGTATGGGGAAAGACAGGCCTGAAGTGTTGGGAAGCTGTGCGGAGGGTACAGGGTTAGAGCGAGGAGGGAGGCTGGAGGTCAGGACGGAGGGATGGCGGCAGAGCTGTGCCCGGGGCTGGGCTGGCACCGGGAACTGTGTCTGAATGCGAGAGCGAATTGGGCAGAGGGACTAAGGTTACACGTGAATAATCCGGATGCCTGGCGATGATACTTACCCTGCGTTTCCATGAGAATTAGAAAATCACTGATACCTTTGGACATATGAGAGAACTAAAAATAAAACTTGCTTTCAGGAGGGAATGCGAGTGCCTGCCTTGTGTACACACCAGGAGCAGCGCGTATGTGCTGAGCAGACAGCACGCGGAGCCGGCGAGGCAGGATTTCAGCAGCTCTTTCCTTCTTGTTTGACCTGGCAGGTCATGAAGAATGAAGAGCTCAGCCTAGAGCTGCTCAATCTGGCCAATGCCAGGAGCACCCTTCCCCGTACAGAGAGCGACCACTACCGCTCCCCCGCCATGGCC